TCCCACCTGATCTGAGGCTCCGTGATGCTGCCGTTGATCTTTCAATTTCCAGCACCAACATGGTGCCTGTGTGTTCAATAAATATGCATTAAGTGAATCGCTTCTCATCTCTAACACTAAATCCTATTCTGGCTGCTGTCTCCAGAGCCAATGGGCTGCCTTTGCCCTCCTCCCAACTCTTCAGCCCAGGGACACCCAACTGAGCAACTCTGGCTCTCCATCAGGGGCTGCTCTGACGAGCATGTCCAGAAGATTAGAGTTCCGTGGCCGCTTATCAGCTGAGCCTGCAGCCCCCATTTTCTGGCTCTGTTTGAGAAGACAAGTGTGTGCAAGGTATGTGGAGCCCACTGAGATCTCAGGCAGGGCAGTCTGTGGCCTTTTCCACATTCAAGGTCTCCTGAGTTCCAGGCCTCAATGAAATGTGTGGAGCAATTTCTCCACGAAGGGCTGAGGGGGTCAGCAAGTAGCAACAGGATGCGGGGGTGGGGGCAGGTTATCCAGACCCTGCAGGACACCCAGGATCACCTGGCATCAGAAGAACCAGACTGGATACCGGAGGGACAGCAGGACAGGAGGACAAGTGGCCTTGTGTTCTTTCCTTTAGTTCAAGGCATAGTTTCCCCACTTAAAGGCAATTTCTTCACTTCAAAAGGATTCCAGCTGGTTAAATTCAAGGTGAAGAATAATCTCTAGTCAAGAAGCTGCTGTGGGGGGTTGGGGGGATGCTTTCAGTTTTCATTGACTTGAGAAAGGGATGCATTTTAAGATGTTGCCTCTTAATGTTTGTCAAAGTGCCCGGGAGCTTCCTTAAACACCTCTCAGCTCCCACAAACTGTTGGCATTGGACCACTCAGACTTCCCCACACTGTGCTGTCTTCTCCGGAACCCACCTGCTTTCCCCTTTCTCTTCCTGCTTCTGCCCCTCAGCTCACATCCAGTCTGGGGGGAGGGGAGACTGCTCTGGCTGGGACCCACCAGGCTCACCAGCTTTTCTCCAGATGCCCCAGGACACCTGGTAGCTCAAAGGGCAAACCTGGCCTTACACAGCTCACAGCTCACTGTCTGGGAGGTCTCCTTCCACCATTCACTCATCTAGCCATCCACTCACTCACTCATTTATTTGTTCACCCATCCAATCACCCAGTCAGTCACTACGGAGTTTGCAGTGCTGGTAAAGGCTGTGGGTGGTTCAGAGAAACACAACACATGGCCCTGCTCTCCTGGAGTTTAGAAATTGGTTGAAGCTATGGGACATGTAAATAAGCAGCCCACAATGCCAGAGAGGAGAAAGTAAACTCTAGGTCTGGAGAGTGGGGAGCATTAAAAACATTCAGAAAAAGAAGAGACAGGCCAGGGGTTGCTTTGTGGCCCAGAGAGAGGCAATCAAGGAAGGCTTCTTGGAAGAGACAACATTTTGGTGGAACCAGGGTACCCCAGAGTGCAAGGTGCAAATATGGGAAAGTGTCTGCACAAAGATGTGCAGGCAGGAAGACCTGTGGTGGGTGCAGAGGTGCTGGCCACACCTACTGACTATTCCTTTTAGGGCCTCAGGGACCTGATTGGGGGGTATTCCTGGCCATGCTTGCTGGCATCACTGCTTTAATGACACTGTCTTACCTATGAAGTACAGCACTGTCCCCATATAGCCAGACAGTCACTAACCTCTTACCCTTGTCTGTCAGACTCCAGATCAGAGGGAATACCTTCATTCTCTTCTCTGTCGCCAGGGATTTGGGCTACCCTACCCCTGCTTTGGAAGGACCCTATTCTAAAGATAACTACTTCCTCTACAACTTCCCCAGTCACCTCTGAAGGGATTTGTTCCCTCACTGCCCCCCACCCAAGGGAATCTCTAGTCTCAATTCCCATGGTCCCTGGTTTTTCTCCATCTCCCTTCCACCATGTTCCTAAGCAGTAACTGCATCAGTACCTGGAACTCTCCCTGGGAACTCTGGCCAAGTGGCCTGGGGGGTTAGCCCCTTGGCTTTGGAGTTGGGCTCTGCCACTTTCTACTCTGCATTTGGTCTAATAGCTTCCTTCCATAAATGCACCTCTTGTTTCTCCTTCCCAACACTGATAAAATCCAAGCGCCCCACTCCCCCTACATGCATGCACATCCTTCTCAGCCCCGGTAACCTGGAAGAATGAATCTGCCGCATTCATCAGGGGCTGCGCTGACCAACACTACCCTATGTGATCACCACCTTGATTCACCTTTAGAGGAGCCACGCTCTCATGCTTTCAGCCCTTGGAGGGGAAGTGGGACTTCCCAGAGTAACCCCTGGGTTCAGAGGTGGGTGAGTGATCCAAGCAGGACAAGTTAGAATAGCAATTTCAGTGGTTGGGAAGGGTCAGTCTACTCTAGTAAATATAGTGAAGCAAAAGTAAACTAAAGTGGGTCTTTGTCATTATAAGAAGAGTCCGGTTATAAATAAGCATGGGAAATGTAGAGAAAGGGGACAAGTGTTGAAGAGAATATAGAAAAAAGGGGACCTGGGCCCTCCCTAGTGGCGCAATGGGTTAAAGT